TTATAGTTCACTACTGGCAGACGCTCTGTCTTACTGACTCACTCCAAGGCAATAATCTACCAAAAATGAATAATGTACAGACTAGTAAGGTTAGAGCGGATTTTAGAGGACAACGTTTTACAAACAGTTTCCGGTTTAAGGAAGTACACAACAGGAGCGTAAACATTATTGTCATTTGTGAATCTCAAACAAGGACTTGACATCAGTGTGATAGATTTAGAGGGAAAAGCACTAATGAAATGAATCAATTGCTGTGGCAATGAATAAATTACTGCCAGTAAGTTGAATAAAAGAAAGCAGGGCTGCTCCATCACTCATAGAAAGAAACAGCCAGTGAAAACTAAGTTTCGAGGGTCGTCCCACTAAAATACACAATACATTTGATGAAAAGTAAAACAATGATAAAGTTAGAGGTCGTATGAGGTTTAAAATCTCAGTCAAAGTGCATTGAGGGTAAGGACAGCTGCTCAACCGCTGTGCCCAGGGCTTTGCAGGACATCTGTCAAGTTATTACTGAAGCCCCTGGAGGGAGATTAAAATGCAGCAAAACACCTTGGCACAGTATAATGAATGTAAGAGTCACTCTATGCAATTAAAAAAGCACAGGTTGGAACTTTTTTCCAATCAATACAACTAGCAGACTGTTTGCTCTGTACAGAGATGCTAAACAAAAAGCGGTGATTGCTAATCAGAAATATTAAGATTTAGTTTCTAAGAATAAGCTGAACTTAATGCAGACCAGGTGAGATTTCTAAAGGAGGTGGTGGGGGTGTGCTTGGGTTCATCCGTCACCTGACGGAGGTCTTGCCAGGGCTGTGGGAACAGGAAATATGACATCACTAGCCTGACATTCAGGAATGTGGGAATGTCAGGCTGCATGTTACCAAAGCTCCAATGAAATGCAGAGTGAGAGAAAGAGTGATGAACACCAGATAACTCAACCCAGCTGAGTTATTTCAAACATAAAGAGCCAGGAAGCATTTAGACCAGCTTAAAACCAGCAGTAATAGAGAAAACATGGTGATTTCTCTAATGTGGAATGGGAAAGTTCAGTTAATACATTATAGTTGGAGAGATAGTGAGATTTAGTGTTAATATATCCACTCCATTAATGTGCAAAACCACTTATGAGCCATAACATTATGGACACTTTTGACCCAAGCTGTTATCTTACTGCACTTTGAAAGACAAACAGATCCAATTTTTTAAGACAAATATACGACAAGACCAAACTTATCATAGGAACACATTATTATCCAGTCAAATTTAGTTTATAAAGTCGGGGGGGAATTTACTTTACATCAATTATACAGATGCCATATTCAATCTAATTCCTAAACATTTCCCAGATTACAGGAAAATCCGATCAGGCTCTCTTACATAATAGAAGCACTTTTATCTTAATATAAGATGGTATTAAACATACTTTTGATTAAGCCCATATTTCTGTATTCAAATATATATTTTTGATCTCATTTAAAATTTGAATCTTAAATATTTAGTTTTACATTAGTTTGAAGTAGAAAATCCTCATAATGATGAATTATGTTTTCAGCCAAATATTGTCTAAAACATTGCTTTTATCCTTATTGTGGGGGGGTAACTTGCTAAAAGTTGTACATACGCAGTAGCACCTCTTTAATGCAAGAGATAGGACCATCATGAGGTGCAGCTCTCCTACGCACAGAGCTGAAAGCAACTTTATTTACCTCCCACCACAGAACTGGTGTCACAGCAATCTGTGGTAAAATGCAGCTAATCTACAGGTTTATATAAATATTTAGCAAAAAGGCTCGCATGCAGTGAGGCTAACGCTTTATTCTGCTTACCCTTTCGTCCTTTTTCAAACATCAGGATCTGACTCAGCATGGATAGAGGCAGGTATGACTGATTTAAAGCACTTTAAAAAAATGTATTATATTTTTTGTTCACATACTGGTGTGATAACTTGGTTTTTGGTAAATGTCGATTTTGAAGATACAGCCCCCGCCTGGAGAAAACTCCTGCAGCTGTCATTGGATTCAACTGCAACTGAGCACCTTTCTTTTTTAATGGCTTCTTTTAAATGTTTATTTTGCCGAAAGTTAAGCCGGGCATACACTGTGTGAGTTTTTGCCCTTTTCGGGCTGATTCTTCTGGTTGTGTGAGAATCCTTTGCATTTCGGCAAGTTTCAGCCACATCGTGTGTCTGGCTTTGTGTAATATACAGGAGACATTACACCGATTAGCAGAGGACATTAGCCTCTCGTGCCCACCTCCCTAACAGCAGTCGTAAGGTTCAATTAAATCACCCCTCATTAGGTGTTTGTGCGAAAAATCCTGCTTTTGAAGCAGAGCTACGAGAATCTATGAGCCAATTTACCAGAACCTCGCATACTGCACATGAGCAAAAAATGGAGCTCTTCTTCATCTTCCAGATTGACAAGTCCGACCAGCGCCATCTCTCTGCGCCAAGTCATACTTGTGGTTTCTGGACATACAGTGTGAGCAGGTACATCGCCTCAGAGTGTCAGGCCGTGCAATGTAAAAACATACATAGTGAGCTGGTAACGTTTAAACCCTACAGTACAATGATTACAAATATTGTACAGTGTATGCCCGGCTTAACTAAATAGTAACAGGTAACATATACCTTAATACATATGGTTATATTGTTATTATTACTATCTAACAAAGGTAACTTGGAATATGAAATACATTAAATTTTGAAAGTTAATTTCCCAACATTGCTTATCTTTACCACAGATTTTACTCCTCAGGTAAGTTTATTTAATGTAGTTTATTAGACCCTGGCAGTTCTGCAGCTTAGCTGGACTGTTAGTATTACATTATGCAGCTATAGCTTCTGACATCTTCATTTTAAAACAGCGCAACAGTTTCGGCAGCCAGAGCTGGTCCAAAGGACCAGACTTGCAATTTTCCTACCCAACATATATGAATGAGCCTTGGCCGGCAATCAGATGTGGGTGGCTCACTAAGGTTTTAATTTCTTGGATGGTGTATGGAATGTCTTGACCACTGCAGACTGGGAACATCTAATAAGGAGTGCAGTTGTGTAGGTGGTATAGTGTGGTCTACCCATTCAGTTCCTGCATTCAGTCAAGCTCTATGAAACCTTGCACTTGCTACTTTGCATTCATACTATCAACATCATATATGCACTATGAAGTGCTGTTGTTACTGTTTGTAGTTAGAATTCAAATAGTTGCGCCTTGATGGTTTTTTTTTCCATTTCTTAGACCAGTTTTCAAGCAATTTAAACTAACTTGAAAGCTCCTTACCAAGGAATTAGCTACGGAAATTTGTGCATCTGAATCTAAGGAACATCCTCTTACGGATACAAGAGCTATAACTACAACATTGTTATATAAAATCAACCTATAGGGTTTCTATAGAGGATATAATAAGATAATTCTGTAGCTAAATGGTCAGAAAAGACATCAAAAAGTGATTAATGCAAAACCCATCCTACAAGATGTAATGACTTCTTCTAATTCAGTGCATATTCAGTATATTAAGCAACCTATCTCTAAATGACCCAATGACACAGGAGGGGAGTCATATTAAGCATTTAACGTCTGGCCTGGAAACTTCTTATACAAATATCATATAAAGTTTAATCAAATTGAAGAAATATTGGAAAGTTTAGGTGCAGTGATTCTCAGAATTTTCAGACATTGCTGTAATCTGGTCACTGCATGCTGCTCGTCCTCAAGGGAAGTACAGATTATATTTCCTCCCTGTTCCTGATATTGTTTTACACTGATGTGGTATAACATCATGACTACTGTAGGGATGGCTAAAAATAACAATTTTATCTTTGCTGATCTAACTGTGGGATTAAAAAAGACACCAAATCAACATTATTTTCCTCGAAATAATATGTTAAAAGCATAAATAACCAGTAAACCAGAATAACAAGGGATTTTAATTCCCAGATGGCTGCAGGTCAAGTGAGCTTATCCCCATTTCCAGAGATCTGTCTTTTTAAAAAGTGGTCCAAGGAAAGAAAAGATGGAGAATTGGCAACAAGGTAATTGATCCAGAGGTGGAAAGGCTTGTCTGTATCTTCAGATCAAATAAATGAGCTACAGTACCTATAAGTGCTAAAGCAAATAATGCTGGTTTCACTAAAAAGGTGTCAGAATACAAAGTATTCTTTTATGATGTATCATAAACTCTGGTCATAATGTTATGTCTAATGAAAGCACTTTTTAAATGAAGTGCATAGTCACGAAAAAAGAAAAGAAAAAATGTTTCAAGCAGTTACTGAACTATGATAGCAAATGCATTATATACAATTTCCCAAAAATCAGAACTTTCCAAAAATAAATCAAACAGACCATTCTGTTCAATCTCTGCACTTTTTTCTTTTCAGAAGGGTAATATACTGATGAGATAGTAACACCTTATCAAACTAAATGAAACATTTGAAATTTCACAGATAGAGTGAAAACAGTAAATTATAAGGTGCCAAACATTTTCTAAAATCTGATAAAAAACTAACTTCTCCTGAAAAGTTTTGTGGGGGTTTTATTCACTCTTTTGGTTTTGTTTCATCTCAACCTAGTTTAAAATGATTTCTCTGGTTGTTCCCACCTAATTGACATATCTATGGTGTTGCCATCCTTCTCCTGGCAGGCCAGTGTTCAGCGTCTTTGCCCTAAGCCTTCTTCTTCTTCACAGACTCGTTGCAAAACTAGAGCAAAGAATGAAACATAGAGCCAGATCTGGAGGGAGCAAAGCCCCTGAAGAGTCCAGCTGCTGCCTGGGAAACCAAACTCTGACCGACTCCAGCCCACGCTCTCTAACCCCAGCCCCTCCTGTTTAATAACAACGAGCCAGTCCCCTGCTCTCCTTTTACTTTTCACCGCCTTTTCCATTCCGGGTTTAAGGGAAAAAGAATCAATTGATGAAAAGTAGTGGAAATTTCTCCCCACATGTTCATGTTCCCACTGTTACACAAAGCGCGTTCCTCAGAGCCGTACTGTGACACTCACCCCTGTAGTGGAGGCTGTCATCCTGGTGGTTGTGGAGGAGGTGGTGGTTCTCCAGAGCAGGGGGGCTGCTGGCTCCCAGCTCTGCTAGTTTGCGGCTGGTTGCGGAGAGCTCAGATCGGAGGTTGGTCACTTCCTGACTCGCAGAGTGGATGACCCCATCGATCCTGTGTGCCAGCTGCTTGTTGTCCTCCATCATTTTAAGGATTTTCCCCTGAGGAGCAAATCCACACAGAGCAGCATGGTATCAGCAGGAGCATTGCATGGGGGGAAGCTGACACCTTCTTCTCTTCCACCAACACCTCCTCTTCTGCCTCCACCTGCACTTCTTTTCTTAAGGTCTACTTTGTACATAAATAATCCTTCCTCTGAACTGGACAGAGCTGAGCGTAGAAGATCTCTACCCTTTTCTGCATAAATGAACAACCTCCAGAATGACAGAGAGTATGTGTTTAGAGAGGGAAAAGGAGGAAGAAGTGCAGAGCATGGGAGAGGATAAGAAAGAAGAGTGGAAGAGATGGAGCCCAGCAGGCAGAGTGAAAGTGAACGTTCCCGCCGAGCAGAATGTGCTGTGAGCAGCTGCTCTCTGAGAGGACCCTGCACACACTGAGATGACATGCAGCCTTTTAAATGGACTGTACCATGTGGTGGAGGAGCGGGGGAGATGGGGGGGGGAGCAGAAGGACTGATGTGCTCTCCAGCAACTCTCCAACTGCACCGTATGCCGCAAATCCCACACCCTGCAGAGCCTGTAATAAGTAAGCAGTTGAGTCTGTAGTGGTGGAAAAAGTACAGATTTCTCTTTACTTCTATTTCTCTCCAATCTTCTACACTCAGAGCTTGGCAGCTGCATTGAATACTTCGGCGAGCAATTGTCAAACCCTCTGTATCCTTTCACATGTGCTCCTTCTTTCCCCTTCCTCCCCTCTGCTCACATGCTTGTCTTTTTGTCTCTCCCACCCCTCCTTTTTCTTTCTATTGTACATCCATCTCTTTGTCCTGGGAAAGCTCACCCCCACATCGGTGAGAGAGGAGGGGAAGGGGGCTGGCACAAGGCGCCCAAGGGAAAAGCATTTCAACACACAGCAAACTTGGGGGAAGGACAGAGGCTCAGCTCCATAAAGGGGGACACACAAAGAGAAGAGGCCTCAAGAATTACAATCGAGCAGCGAACAGGGAGAACATTGAGGAGCTTTACCCCTTTGATCAAAAACTGTTGGAGGGATTATTTCCCGGCTTATCTGTGGGTTTAGCAAACAAATCCCACGCCTTTGGTACTTATCTTTGCAGTTATAGAATTCAATAACATATACAAAAGGTTACATTGGCAGTGTAGGCTGCTTGTCTTATCTCAAAACATCCCTGATACTGTTCAATCATCCCAATTTCAAATCTACAATTGACATTTTCATTTCCTCTCCTGAAGAAAAAATGAGTTTCTTCTGTTGGGGGGGGGGGGCGGGTGACCCATCAGTTATTTTTGGCTCAGGTGATCATAGAACAGAGTTAATGTTCTCACATTTGCAGGGAAGCTACAAGTGATGGGACCATGATTTGAGAAAAAGCTGTGTCGGTTAAAGATATTGAGGCAAGGTTCTGAAAAGACAACATCTGGATCTTTTACGTCATAACATTCCCGTAGTTTAACCAATGATTGACAACCAGGTTTTCTTCAATATGTTTTTTAATCATGGTAAAAAAAGCAGGCAAAAATAACATTTAAATATTTATTACTTCTGCTTTTACACAAGAACGACCAATCATATACAGACCCACTTAACAAGAAAGATGAATATTGTCATACTGAACACTCAGAACTATTCAACCTATAGTAATAATCACCCATTCGAACCCACCTACGCACGAACATTCATACACAAATATGCACATTGCTAGGCAACTTTGGGTTAAGGGCCTGGACTGGGGGCTCACTGACATGTAAAACAGGAATCTGGAATCAAGCCCAAAACCCTTCAATTGCTAGATGGCAGCTCTACCCGCTGACAGTGGCTCACTAAGCCACAGTGGCCTACAATAGTTAACTCCAAACTTTTCAATGGTAGTTTACGCATCAGGTTAAATAAGTGTTTTACAGCTCAAGGCTTCTCTCAGTTTAGAACATCTCTTTTTAATATGTCAATTGACAAGCATTTCACACCAGATCTGGACAACAATCTGTGCAATTTATCTACACAGCAATTAAAGTAAATTAGTCCAAACACAAAAGTAATGAGTAGAATTGAAGAGTAGAAAATGAAATTACATAGAAAATCACTATCAGACTGTAAATTATTAGTAAATGCTTTGTGGAAAAGCTGTTTTATTTTAAGTAATTTCAAGCTTATTTCTCTAAAAACCAACTAAGTTTTTCCTTTGCTGAGAGGCTGGAGGGCATTCTTGCTTGGAAATACACACTTGATTATTCCTTTGGCTCCTGTGTCTGAAATCCTATGAGGGGCACCTGGGTATGGTTGGTTTAAGGTGAAATGATGCCCTTTCCACTTCTGGATTAATGACTCCAGCATTTCTTACTGGAACATTCAGTTAAGTTTAAAAACCCATCTGTAACCAATAATATTAGTGTTATGCAACAGTGAGACAATTTTGTTGAGGTCTCTTTGCTTTTACAAGTGTTACCTCTTTGTGCAGAGCTTTGCTAATGATGAACTTTTTTAAAGGCCATTAGGTAATATTAAACCAGCGGCTATTGATTTAAACATTGCAGGAAGAAGTTTTTCAAAATACTGATACATTTTTGATGATTTCTTAGCTCCCCAACCATTTGGTATATGGTTTTAAATGCTCAAAACTTGTTCCCCATACCATTGTAACGCATTAGAAGTCCTTTATGGACTCATCTTTACCATATTGCTTTGTATAAATAGGTTACTTTAGTTACTGAATTTCATCTACAGTAAATACTAGAAACAATACTAAAAAAATATGTAGGGTTTAATACCAGTGTGGTAATCGATATAAAATTAATTTAAAACAAATAAAGCAGCATTGTACTGTAATGTATTTCAACTGCTCTGGCACCATTGTCTGTAACACATTTAAATTGCTCTCATCATATATTATTTGCTCAGATATACTGAAGAGGTTTAGAGTCACTTGAAAAGATAATATTGTATTCAAACGACTACAGTTAAAAAAGCTACTAGAGCTGAATACATACTGTTCACAGCAAAAACAGAAACCCTTCTTCTTTTTCCCATGGTAGCAGGAACAAAATTTCCCCTCCACTCACTTAGCTGTAGTAGTGTTTATTTACATATATACATTACATTGCAAAATGTATTTTAACTGTGATATGATGTCACCTGCGCAACAAATCGAGGTGTGAAGTTTCCTTAGTTTTAAACATTCCTCAGTCAACTGTTAGCTGTATCATCAGAAAACGGAAGTGTATGGGAATGACAGGAACTCAGCTACGAAGGATCGGTCACAAAAATTGACAGAGCGGGTCAGTGCAGTGGATGCTAAAGTGCTTGGTGTGAAGAAGTGACATATTTTCTGCAAAGTAAATTATTACACACTTTCAAACTTCATGCAGCCGTCAGATTAGCCCAAGAACAGGGTGCAGAGAGCTTCATGGAATGAGTTTTCATGATCGAGCAGCTGCATTCAAGCCACAGATCACCAAGTGCAATGTAAGGCGTTGGATGAAGTAAAGCACTCTGCTACTGGACTCCAGAAAAGTGGAGACACATTCTTTGAAATAACAAAACACTCTTCTCGGTCTGTAAATCTGATGGATAAGTCTGCATTCAGTGGTTTCCAGGAGAATGCTACTTTTTTCTTTCATATCCAGCTTTTTTATTATCATTCCATTGTCACAAGTACAGAGCAACGAAATGAACTCTCTGCATTTAACCCATCCCCTTTGGGCAGCAGTGGGCTGCAATTGTGCAGCGCCCGGGGAGCAGTGTGGGGTTAAGGGTCTTTGCTCAGGGAGCCAGAGTGGCAGTCTGTGGGAGTGGGGCTTGAACTCGGAACCTCTGGATTCCAAGAGCAATGCCCTAACCATTATGCAGACTAGGGGTGTAAATCACACCCATCATGGCGATTCGATTCAGTATCAATTTCCTGACCCAACGATTCGATTATTTTCAATAATCAAGAATACACTATGATTCAATTCAATTCGATTAATTGGTTAATTTTTTTTTTTTGCCTTACAGGTTAGACAGTGTTTCGAATTTGATATAAATTTATAAAAGCTGTAACATCATTCTGCTTTTTATTTGAGAAACAACAGCAAATAACAGTAGTAGCAAAGTTGTTCGAGGAGCAAAAGGATAAAAAGAGACGGGAGGGGTCCTAAGTGTAAAGTTGAGTTAGTGGAGGGGGCATCATGGTATGCTGTTGTTTTTCAAGAGTTGGGCTTGGCCCCTTATGCTTGGTTTATACTCACAGCATTGAACTGTACGAGGCTGCACATGCCAAAAGTGACACAATTATGCTGTCCCCGCCCCAGAGAGTGGACCGTGGATGTAGCATCTGCACTATTGCACACCTCCGAACGCGTCAGCAACAGTTTTGTTCAAAACTTAGATGTTCCTGCTTATTCTGTGACTGAAACAGAGTACTGGCATACTTTCAGGAATGAGTTACGGTAATTGGCCACGCTTGTGGGCACAAACACGGATTTTAAGTTCTGTGTGCATACAGCATAAAGTTTTAAAAAACAACCCACAGTATATAATGCACACAGCTTTTATTAAGTAAAATAAACTCTTTTTATATCTATGATTTTTTTTTTAAGATCCATATGGCCTTCTCCGGCAGGCTGCATTTCCCCATTGTCACTCTGTGTGCAGCAGGTGAATGTCTTATTTTATTCTACCATCTTTTTCTGTGTAGCTGCCATAAACACACCAACTATTCTTCAATAATCATAATTTCTTGAATAAACAATATTGCGGTAAGTGGGGAGTCACCTGGTTCTTCTCTTTTTTTCATTTCTGTATGTCATGTTGATCACTGTCCCTCTGTGGTCTTTCTGAGTACTGCACCCACATTGCATATACCGGCGCTACTCAACATGTAAGTATATCTGGGCCTTTAGTTGCAGTAAAAGGACCAGGCTTCATCCATTATAAGTCCATGACCTAACTATGGAAGCATAGTCAAAACTTCCCATAAACACATGTCTAAAACTCATGGAAAGCCTTTCCTGAAGAGTTGGAGCAGTTCCTACTGAAAAGGGTG